GAGCGAGAGACAGAGCGAGAGAGAGAGAGAGAGAAGGAGAGAGCGAGAGAGGTAGAAGGAGGGAGGAAGTGACATGTGCAACATAGAGGAATCCAAATTGCCTAAAAATCCCAAACCCTGAGGCCCGAATCTTAAATCCTTTATTGCAGAACCTAGCCCCCAACCTGGACGCATTTGTTACTCACTGAAACTATAACAACAAAACCCGATATTAAGCTCAAGAATGATACAAAGAAAGCCCTGTCCTGGATGTCGCTTGATTTGCATCATAAACAGAGTCTTTAGACCAATCCCCCCAGGGTTCCAACTCAGTTCTGCATGAGCTTCCCTGGTTCATGAAAACAAACGTGCTGCATTCGACTCCAAGGATTGAGAGGGCACCCTGCAGCGAACCACTGAGCACCATGAGGACAGCCAACCTTGGCTGCAGTGCGAATCGAATGCATGCATGTATGTGTATACATGCATGACATGCATGTTACTGTCTATACATGCATATATGTGTTGCATTCATGTGTAGCCTAGGAGCGCAAAGCCAGCATTTTCATTCAGGTGGAGGGCGGATCTCTCATGGGGGTCGTATGTTTGGTCGGATGCAACGGATGTAAATCCTGCAGCCTGGGCAATCCTAGTGATCCTTGCCCGACCCGCGAAAAGCTCAATCACATCGAACGTCTCCTGGCAGAACGGGGGTTTCGGATCCAACCAATACACCAGGAGGATGATGGCCACGAATGCCTTGGCTGGCCGAGCATGGAAGGGGGGGCCTTGGCTATAACCGGTACCCTCAACCCTAAACCCTAAAAGCCCAAACCCTAAAACCCCAAACCCTAAAACCCCAAACCCTAAAACCCCAAACCCCTAAACCCCAAACCCCTAAGAAAAAAAACCCTAAACCCCAAACCTTATAACCTTTTCCACAGGCTTGAACTGAGCTCGCCCGGCCAGATCCCTCGCAGCACATAAACCCCAAACCCTAAACCCCTATAAACCCCTAAACCCCAAACCTTAAGCCCTAAACCCTAAAGCCTAAACTATGTTACTTCTACTTCGGCACAGCAGTCTAGACTGCATGTGTGATGTATATAGGCTAGGAGCCTTGGGGACCTTGCGGGCGATGAGCTTGCGGATGCAAGCATCCATCGCCGCTGCATCAATCATTGCTGAGCACTAGCTAGATCAATTAGATCTAGAGTGTCGATGTGTGCTGGCATGCATTTTGCGCGTGCACTGCGGGCACATGTGTGCCTCGAGGCTATCGTCCAAACACGGCAGCCACAGTCACTGCAGGCTTCACTTAAGGACTTCGATCTGGGGTGTCTATATCCGGGATGTAGGCAGACCAACCTTTTTTAATTAAGGGATATACGGTTTAAGGGATATAGGGTTTAGGGTTTAGGGTCGATCTGATTTTCATTTAGGATATGCTGAGGCTCTTCGGCCGTTCTACAGGCAGTTAGAGGATTCTTGTACGGTGATGTATGCATGGAACTTTTCTGGTATCCAAGAAGGCTTTGGCCTTCATGTCCAATATAAATTAACCTTAAACCCTACACCCTAATATAGGCAAAGCTTTTTTTTAATGTCTAGGGTTTAGGGAAGTTTAGGGTTTGTTTTGTGTTACAAGCGAGACTGCACGGCACCTTCATCCGAGGCAGGCACAGCACCTCTGCGAGCCAAGAAGGCCTGTCCACGTTTCATCGTCGAGCCTCGGCAGAAAATGGGTCTGAATGTGGGGTTGCCAAGCAAATCGGAAGGTGCAAATGTGCATCATCATTTTTTTCAAGCTCAGCTGTTGCCTGCTTTGATGCTAAAGGCCCCGTGCATGCAGCAGCTACTCTCACACTCTGCCGCCCGAGCAATGGTAGCTACAGGATCTGGCATTTTGTGAGCACAGCATAACCCGATAATTTCAGAAAGTGAGCATGACGATAAAAACCACTGTGGCAAATCGTCACGCTTTGCCCCAGCCCCTTTCATGGCTCCTACGGAGCCGCTTTCAGGAAATCACGTGCGGCTGCCTCCGCCACTTGGATGCAGCCAGGAATATCGCTCTTCTTCGGCATCAGGGGCTTGGCCACCATCCAGAAAGCATCCTGCATTTATGGCACACATATAGACATGCAGCTGTAGGGTTTAATTGTACTATATAAACCCGAATTAAACCTAAACCCTAAACCCAAGGGTCTAAGATTTATAGGAGATTCAATATAGATCTCAAAACCTGTCCTGCTCAGCAGACCCGAAATGCGAAAGCTGGGCCCGAAAGACATCCCGAATGGCTGTCCAGTGATTCAAGGCATCCCCACCCTGAGGCTTGGCACGTCTTGCAAAGCTTTTCTCATCTTCAGAATGGCGCTTTCGCTTCTTCGTAGCGGTAGCGCTTGCATCCGAAGTAGCTTCGCCTGTGGTTCGTTTCCCTGGAACGGCCTTGGCCTTGGGGGATGCTTTGGTCTTGGCGGATGCTTTGGCATTGGGCTTGGGCTTGCTCCGGGAAGCTTTGCTCGCCGACTGCTTGGGCTTGCTCGGGGAAGCTTTGCTCGCCGACTTCTTGGGCTTGCTAGGGGAAGCTTTGCTTGGCGATGGCTTGCTCGGGGAAGGTTTGCTTGGCGAAGCCTTGGTCTGGGGCTTCTTGTTTCCTGCTTTGGCTCCAGGTTTGGAGTGCTTTGGTGGCCGGGTTTCCTTAGCAGGAGTCTCCAGGGCTTGGGGCTCGTCAGGAACAGCTTTCGGTTTTGGGGAAGGGGTCTTAGTCTCACTATCATCATCCTCCATCCCACAGCGACCGCGGCCACCACGGCCACGGCGACCTCTGCCACGGCCCTTCCCAGCACCTGAGGTCTTCTCATTGCCTCGACCGCGGCCCCTGCCTCTGCCACGACCTCTGCCGCTTTTGCTAGGACCCTTCGGCTTGGATTCAGCGTCCCCTGCAGCAGGCCGACCCACACGGCCCTCAATAGTCTTGGACTTGTTTTGCTGCTCCATAGCTGATGGCTTGCCCTGAGTAGGATAAGCCAAGCTAGAGCATATGAAGTGCTTGCATGGACATGACAGATTAATTAGAACAAGACACCTTGAAGTTCAGGACATCGAGCTCGTCAGTATCCCCTGGATCCACGGTGCAACCTGGTGCAATGGAAGTAGGGGCTTTCGAGGCTCCATCCACAGGTAGATCGGCTTCTGGGGCTTTCGAGGCTCCATCCACAGGTAGATCGGCTTCTGGGGCTTGCAAGGCTCCATTACGTGGCAGATCAGCTTCTGGGGCTTTACCGGCTCCATCACCAGGCAGATTGGTTTCTGGGGTTTCAAGGGCTCCATCACGAGGCAGATCAGCTTCTGGGGCTTCACGGGCTCCATCACCACGATGAGCTTCTGGGGCTTCACGGGCTCCATCGCAATGCAGATTGGTTTCTGGGGCTTCCAGGGATCCATCACCAGGCAGATCGGTTTCAGGAGACGGAGACACATAATCCTGTCGAGTTTGATAGTGCATATATAGACCACATGCATGTACTACAACAGGATGATACTTCGGACATGCTATGTTCTACGGTCCTCCAAACACAAGGATACAGCATCATCGTCACTGATATCGATGCATCCTGATGGACCAGCAAAGCCTGCCGACATAATGTCCCAGGGCACAGTGTCGGTGACAGCAGGATCATGAGCAGCACCTAGGATACGGAAAAAATCTTGGACTCTTCTCGCCCAGAAGTCACCATGCAATATTTAATTGCCATACCAAGATGCCACTTGCTCGCGCTCTGCGACGATCCTCCAAGTGATTCCTAAGGTTGGAATGAAACAAGGCAAGCGTGCAAGCCTAGAGCTAAAGTTGCGGTGCAGCCAATATTTTAAAGACAAGTTTCTCCAGAATTTGCAGCTGCTGCTGCGTGGCCTGAATCTCTGCATCTAAGGTATCCTCAGCTGCTGCAGCCGGTGCTTCTGCAACCCCGCTACCACCTTCGGCAGCTGGGTAAGCATCCTCCTCGGCAATCACATCATCATCACCATCATTCTCGGGCTCGGGTTCTGCAGCCTCCTCACCCCAGGCTTGCGTCATTATGTCGAATAAGACGTGCAACGATGAATCCTTGAATCACAGCATGATCAAGGCTATTTCATGTTGATGGCACGACATGGAACTGCTTGACTAGGCACTCGTAACTTTGCGATTGGGGACTTCCAGCGGCGCATAGCCAAAGTGGCCAACCGCTTGATGCCCCAGCTATCGACATAAACAGGCACTGTCTTCCCTTTGCCACCGACACTCAGCATCTCGTGAAGCTTTGTCACCTGAGCGGGCTTGGGCTAGGGTATATATATATATAGTTTAGGGTTTAGGGGTTTAGGGGCTTAGGGTTCAGGGGGATGTCAGGCTGGGTGGCAACCTGAATCAACGTACACCAAACCTGATCTTTTAAACAAGGATCTAAGCCCGAAGACTAAACCTTCTAAACCCTGAGCTGCAAATTGTCAGCAACCCGGAATATATCTTAATGCTTCAGTGGGGACCTATGTATCGAGATTTGCTTTTGTTGGTTTAGAGTTCAGTTCGCTTTTGGTGTAGGCGTCTAGGGTTTTGGGGGCTGGCGTGTATCGATAACCATTTGGGGGAGGTTCGATGAAGACAAGTAGCATCCTTCTTCAGCCAATCCACCGACATACCTTTAGGTACAGGAGTCACTTGGCCCCAGATGCGTAGTGCAATGGCAAGTACTTGAACATTCAGGGCCAATGCCTTCATGCTAGCAACACCTACCAGCTCTGGCGAAGGCCACCGAAGTAGATGGCCCCGGTTCTCTCGGTACAAAGTCCGAATGCCGTTGTCCTCCTCGAAAGCCGAAGCCAACAGTCCGTCATCAGGCCACACCAGCCGCGATCGTGTCCTACGGACACGAAGGCGCCCTTCTTCACCCGATTCAGGCCCTTCATCAGCCATGTTTGGCACTACGTGATCCCTGCAGCCGAAATCCTGCGAATTAAGTATGGTTGCTCAATGTTCAGCCGACCAGAGGCTCAAGGTTCAACATTAGCTGAGACCCAGGCTCGCGCAGCTCGGAGTAGTGGGGCCACCAGTCCACAGAAACCTGGGCCCGAATGAAAAAATCAAGCGAATAGACTGGGGTTGGGATCGAGGCCATTACCCATAACAGTCGTTCAGGATCAAGATCAAAACGATCCTGCATGGGCTGCAACTGCAGCATGCAAAACCACAATCTCATTGTGATCTAACCGAGACAAGCCTTCGGAAAATTGATGAGGCAGCCAGCAGCGGCGCTCCCATTCAGATGGACCTGCGAAGGGCAGGCTTTGGCAGCTAAAGGCAAAAAAGACCGATCGATGTGCTCATGTAGCGGCGCATAACAAAGCTGAAGCAAGCTCACGAATGTTTTCCACCCCATAACCAGCTAGCTGCACAGGATACCTGCAGTTTCTCAATCACTTGTGCCAACTGCATCAGCCTGGGCTATACCCCTTGTCACGACTGCCGTGGCCCCGTAGCAGAACTCAGTCTTCGTGTGGACGCACATTTCCGATCAGCATGTCTCCTTCAGGGCTGCTTAAATGGAGCTCGATCATAAATTGAATGTGTATGCATGCACGAAAGCATTGGCAATCACAAGGCCTTGCCCTTGTGCAAACAACTCCGAGAAATGTTTGCAGATGCCACCCACTCGTACATTCGTCACCACATCCGAAAGCATCTGGTCGGCACGTGGAAGGTCCTGCAGGGCGCGATACTCACCGAAATTGGGTGCTTGCCCAGCCCTGAACCAACAAGATCCAGATCAGTCCTTCTGATCAAGATACAATGCCTCCACCGATGCATTCCAGAATGCATCTGGCATCTGCATCAGTCCTCCCGTAGGATTGAAAGTTCAAGCGACACACCTGAACACACAGCACAACAGATGCTCATGATGTGTCCTGCTCTGTGCACGAGGTCCAATCCCAAGGGTGAGCATTTGCTCAGCACTTTTGCTGACATCTCGGAAATCCTCACCTGGACCCTTGAGCAATCGAAGTCTGCAATGGTTTCACAAGTGTTCACAGGATGAGAGTGAGCTCGATCAAGAACATAGCAGAAAGCAAATGCATCGAGCAAGTGGGGGCTGACCTCGTGAGGCCAAGCATCGGTGCCCGGATGGGCTTCAAAAGAGCAACATACAGCTGAGGTTCCAGCATCGGCGACTGAATGCCCACTCAATATTCCAAGCCTCTAACCTTCAATATTTAAGCCCCCAAGCTCAGTGAATCAACCTGGTACAGACCATCTCCAAACCCTCATAAAACCTCTAAAAACCCTTCAAAAGCCCAAAAGCGCAATATTACGTTTTTTCTGGGTTATATCCCTAAAACCATTAATTCTGAAATGTATGTTTTTTTGTAAGGCTAGGGTGGTCAAGGTATTTATTTATTTATACTTTTATATACACATTGAGACACCCACATGTGTGTGTATGTACGTATGTATGTAGGTACATATGCAGATGTGTAGGTATGTATGTATGTATGTATGTATGTATGTGTGTATGTGTGTACGTATGTACGTATGTATGTATTTAAGTGTGTAATCATGAATAAATTATGTAAACAAATAAATGAAAACAAATAAAAATAAACATATATATATATGTATGCATGTATTGATATATACACACATACATATACCTATACCTATACCTATACCTATACATATACATATACAACATAAACCTTTAGCTACGAGTAGTACGCCATTATAAGCGGCGGCGGCCCTGCCCAAGTCAGTCAAGCTGAGGGCTCCCAGATTATCGCCGGCAGCCTGAATCGTGAACTTCTTCTGCCCGATGCGCCTCAGGTACGACATGTTGCTGCCACATCTGCGAGCCCAAGGAGCACAGCCGGTCGACTTTTCTGAAGTTCAAAGGCTCTACATTGACTCTACACGAGAAGCCTGATGTGGGTCTTGGTTGGGTATGTCCCAAAGGCTCATATACTGCTGCAAATAAGCAAGTCGAGCACTGATTCGACGAGATATGGAAGTTGACGGTGATGTAACCATGCCCGGGTGAGGAACGAAGGCCACTCCACCGAGGTCTGAATTGTGTTTTAAGCTAGTTACGTTTGGAATCTTGTGTAGTTTTTTTCAAGGTTGGGGTACCTCGACAGAATCCTGCGACTCAGAGCTTTTAGGGGGATCCTTGCCTTCGTTTGGCAATATTTCTGCAACTCCCAGATCAAGGCCCTGGCTGCACCACAAGCTGGACATTCTCTTTCGTAGCTGGCTCGCCTCGGCTATGCTCCCAAGAGAGCTGTGGGTTCGTTAATTCTAGTTACACTTCCTTACAGTAGCCCTCATAATTAGTAAACTTTATAGTAACCCTCACTTGGACCCGAAAAAATAACCCTTGAAACATCCCACGTAAACACCCCTAGACCCCTGCTCAGCTCAGAGCCGAGAAAGTCGCTGCGCATCAGGCGCTCCCCCATTGGCTTCCACCGGAACTCCAGCGGGCGGCCCACCTCAACTCCGAAATACTGTAGCGGCGCAACAAAAGTTCTGAGGGTCCTATGATAGGGGTCTGAATGGGATTTGGAGGGGTATACCAGAGCAGACGTACAAAAACGCTTTTAGCGGATGCTGCTGCTGAATACTCCGACCCAGTATTATTTTCACTTGGAACCTTTGGTGCCTGAAAGCCTCGACTGAAGCTTCATATACCCATTCTAATTACTCAGGACCCGATATTTGCGAGTTCGTACAAAGTTGTCCGAAGGCCCCGGCACTGATGACGATCTCCATCGGGTTGCTGCCAACCCTCAGCACCGAACCACGAACGGATGTGATATTTATTAAGCACCCCTACTAATAAACACACATTGAAAAATCCTCCCGAAATCATCCCTGCCCTTTTTAAAAATTTAAAGGACCCGGGATAACCCCACATGACAATTTTAGTCGAGTGCCAGCTAAGTCAAAGGAATCATAACGTGTGCGTGTCTGTCTGTCTGTGCATACATCTGGGACCCTCCCCGCCCCTCCCCTTTCTCCACCCTTCCACTTAGGCAACGCCCACGTTCTTGAGTGAGCGAGGGGGGGGGTCAATGCAAAATCAGACCTGCATCCCACAACTTCTGCGCAGGACATCCGGGGTCTTCGTGCCTCCCCAGAGCCTGCTACGGTCTTCCAGAGCAGGTCCCAGGCGCGCCCCCAGAGTGATGTGGGGAATACTTTGCATTCGGGGAGCAAGAGCCGGAGGAGGAGCAAGAGCCAGAGCAAGGGCAAAAGCAGTAGCAAGAGCAGGAGTAAGAGCAAGAGCAAAAGCAAGACCAGGAGTAAGAGCAAGAGTAGGGCTGAGTAGGGACAAGAGCAAAGTCAGGAGCAAGAGCAAAAGCAAGACCAGGAGGAAGAGCAAAAGCAAGGGCAAGAGCAGGAGCAAAAGCAAGAGTAAGAGCAAAAGCAGGAGTAAGAGCAGGAGCAGGAGCAAGAGCAAAGGCAAGAGCAAGAGCAGGAGCAAGAGCAAAATCCCTCAAAAAGTGGCGGTGGAGATAAAAATCCCGCCGGATAATGAAAACAGTTTACGATTTTTTATTTGGGGGGTGCCTCACACCCCCGTTTAATGTTAGGGGGAAGGGATTACATCATCCCTGAATGCTCAGACATCTAGGCTGGGTCCGAGTGGCACTCGCACGTTGAATGCAAACGCCTCTTCCTCTGATTAAGACTGATATCACAAATCCAAATATGCGTACAAAGGAAGCCGAGACATTAGTTTTCGAGCGTTGGCTCACGGAGCTGGAAGAGGCAATCCTTGCAACCGCGAGCTTGTAGGGGCCCGGCTCTCGAATGTGGTGCTGAACCACCTATGCGTCATTGCCACAACATCAGTATACAAGGGTTCATAAGTGCCCTCGCTTGGATTCTGCCGGGTCATTCCCATAACCTGACTTCCAACCCACTTGCTGAGTCCCACCACCTTACAACCTTTGTGCAAAAAGGCAACATCTGCTCAGTGGAAACCCAAACCAAACCATTAACTCCTACAGTAAACCCTTGGCAAAGGACACGACGGGCAAACGCGACAGCCCAAGGTTCTCTCGGGTGACGTTTGCAATCTCCATAGCATGCTCTCAGTTTGGGCATTGCTGGTCTTCAGGCGGTCTTGTGCAGGATCATTTTTGCCCTCTCCAGATGACACCCCGGGTGACCAGCTGCCATTGAATATTTATCTACTACGCGTGTGGTCCTTGACCTGCACGAGTGCCCCAAAAAACAATTCAAACAACAATCCTTGCGGCGACCTCGAAGATGGGGTCCGGAAGGAGACCTTGGAGATGGGGGATTTCATGCGGTTGGATGTGGCTTCTTCTACGGCTCTTCAGGGTTGTCGGTTTGGCTCTCGCGACAATCGGCCCAGCTGCTACTATCATCTGAATTCTGGCATCCAAGGCAACTACCTTGCCCCAAAAAAACAATACAGCCGACAGAATAGATGCGAACTCAAGCACCCAGCCACAGTACACACATCGATGGCGGGAATGCCATAAACCTCACTGCTAAAGCCATGACATAGTATCAGCAACTTGCAGACCACCTGGACCTTAAAAGCATACAGACCCGAAGCCCTAAGACCCTCACTGCCAAACCCCAAAAGCCCCGAAACTCCAAACCCCTGACAGGCAGGCAGTTTCCCTTGGATGTGTTTTAGTGGAGTCCCTGCTGTCCTTGCGTCAATTCATGGTACACGGGAAGTTCCCACGATTTGGTGACCATATGCTTCATACTCTACAGTGTTAGCACCTCGTAAGTAATTTGCATACTCTGAAATAGCATACCAAATACGCATATTCCGAATCCAAGATTTAGGAAGTGCCGAACCTGTGGCGCAAAGCCCTCAGCTCACTCTTGAAGTTGTGCAAAACATGGGCACGTAGATCCTGCTCTACTTTGGCAAA